CTTTTTTTTATACAACTTAGAACGGCAAGCAAGCTGACGGCCCACCTGATGGAAAGTGGTAACCGTCGCCTATAGACTTGAGCAGTACCATTTACATAACAGAGTATACTGTTTTGTCCATAACACCCCCCATGCGTCGTCATTCCTGAGGACTCGGGTGTTATTGCTCTGTACCGTGTAAATTCACAGCCATATCCCACCCTTCAGACCGAAACACAGCCATGCAAACACAACTGCTTCACGGTAGAAACACGAATAGGACAGAGGTGTCCAAGCAAACGAATTTTGTATTCTTCCTCTACTAACTTCTCTAAGATCCAAATTAAGCAAATTAATATGAGATTAATCGTTTTATAAGTTAATACTTTCTTTGATACGTACTAAATATTAAAACCAATGGTCTAAGATAAAGTAAATAATGCTAGATAGCTGTGTAAGGGCTGTAACTTCGATAATACATTATATACAATTCACAGATCCACTGTAGGACAATCTAATATTACAAATGGCTCGTAAACCCTCGCTCGAGTAAGCGCTATGTTTAATGACACGTCTATATTTGGTGCCTATTCTGAAGGATCCATAAACTTTACTAATTTCACCGGACTATTATTCACTACGGTATAGTAGTACATAATAAGGAGAGAGGGGAAATAATAAGAGAGAAAGTCGCCGAAAGCGTATAAATTGACGGAGTTATGAGGTAACAAACAAAAAATTACTACTGAATTAAGAACCTCCTTTTTTTGAAGTAGGTTGAAAATCGTTTATCATGATTCACTATCAACGTATAACCAAAAAGACAAAACCCTTTACTCATGCAAACACAATAATCTCCTATAAACCTATTTTAACTATTACGATGTTTTGTCTCTTTCTTTCAAACCAACAATTTAGCACAAAAGAGGCGAAACAGTTCATTAGCTATAATAGGTTTATGACATGTTAGACGCTTTAGTGAATATGGGGTTAAGTCTAGAAAGCTAAAATTTGAAATACAAACAACAGCTAGTCAAAGATATATTATTGAAATAATTAGAAAATATTTTAATGTAATAACTACCGGTTTAACTTATGTGTCATTAGATCAAAAATGCTCGATTAGTTTCGGGATCAATTCGTGATTCTTAATCATGAGCGGCTGTGACGCAAACCTAACTGTCGCTCATGATTAAGGATTTAAAGGACTTACAGTTAAACCCGTAGTTATTACATTAAAATATAATGTGTGCTTACAAAAGTTTTAACAATAAAATTATAAAATAATGTCGGAAAAATTCTAAACTTACTAATGGCTCACAAATAGATCCTAAGTTGTTTATTCACGTCGTCAGCTTTCATTCAACTTGTCAAGTTTTTGCTACTGTCACTCGCGTGTTTACTGTACCGGTTTCGGTTTCATTCTATTCTCTATAAATAGTTAACTTGGCGATTTTAATGGGCTCATAACGTATGAATGGAATTTAAATTGACACATAGTTTCTGCCAATTTCGAAATCACAACCTTATCGGTCTTATTTTTTATAACACTGCGCTATCTGTACAGTATGTACTCGTAGTAGTAAAAGTGTGGTTTCGGCATAGAATAAGCCATCCCTTCCTTTACCATGGGTGTCGTAAGAGGCGGCTAAAGGAATTTAAATGTCAAGGAATGGACAGCAGCATCCCTTTTTAAATATCACCAAAATTCTAACTGGGATAGCCAACGCACCTGTCCAACACGACAATCATTGTCAAACCCTCCTTATGGAAGAGGCCTATGTTCAGCAGTGAAATGTTAATGGCTGATGTGATGACGATGACGATGATGATGATGATCATCATCATCTATACAGTGTTTAACAATTTACAACTTGTTTAACAATTCGTCACAATTTATCATTCAATATATACCCACCACAAATTTATTATATTTATTTTATTTTTATTTTTTACACAATACACTTTAAGCACACCACTGTCTTGGTCAAGTTACCCAAACATTATTGTTATTATTAGGGCCCCGCGGGTTGGCGAGGCTCGTGCTGAAAATCAGCGCTGTAGTGTCCCTGACACTACAGCATAATGCTGAGCACGCACCTTATTTTGCAGGTATTGCGACGCACGCACACATACACTCATATTTGATGAAACTGTTATAATACGAATTGTTTTATTTTTCTTTTTTAATTTAATATTCTTTTTTTATATTTATATAAATATTTATTGTGTTGTTTCTCTATTATAATTCTTAATATATGGATTTTTTTAACCCCTGTGTGGGTGTTGTCGCATATTTCTGTAAAATAAAGTTTCTTTCTTTCTTTCTAACAAAACTCTGTCTCGACACAAAAATGTTACCAAGATAGGGTCTTGGTAACATTTTTGTGTCGAGTACTTATTACTTACCCACTTATTTATACAAACTAAACCTTTTAAAATCTATTTTAATTATTAAACTGTTTTGACACTTCTATTAAATTGGGAATTTAATTCAAAAGAAAGAGAGTTCAACAGTTCAATACCTATAATAGGCTTTTGAGAAGGTTGACGTTTTTATGAATAAGGAGATTATTTAAATAAAATTTAGTAAGTATTATAATGTTTATTTGTAACTGTATGCATCATAATTAATGATTGTGTCAAACAAAATAAAAAGAGTCCAAATGTGACTAAACCATTTATTTGATCTAAAAACTAAACTACCGAATCTATTTTGGTAAAATTTTAACGGGACCAATTTGTAAGTATATTTTTTCGGATGAAAAAAGTTTTTTTCTAAATCGGTTCACAACTGACAGAGTTGTGAGGTAACAAATATAAAAAAAATACAACCGAATAAAGAACTTCTTTCTACTTGATGTTTTTTTTTTAATTAAAAACAATAATATGGTAATTCCGCCTGCACTATCAGTATACACTGGCGGGGCACCAGTGAGGGATGATTGGTGAGGATGAAAAGGCAGGTCAATTAGCTCATCGTGACGAATTCAATGATAAATTATCATCAGGTAACCGCTTACCATCAAGTGGGCCGTATGCTCGTTTGCCACCTCAGTGGTATAAAAAAAATTAGTTGTAGAGTACAAACTACATATTAATTAATTCGAAATTGACACGCATATCTATTGTTTCCCTTTGGCTTACCTTCACGGCCCTAGTTTTCTAAGTTCCTTTGACTATTTATTATACATATATTTCCAATTTCCATTCCTTGTTTCCATAGTCGCCCACATTAGTCACGATAGTTTCCAAGGGGAACGTGAAGGTTGACCTGGTAGGGATAGTAATTGGAACTTTTTTTTTATACAACTTAGAATGGCAAACAAGCTGACGGCCCACCTGATGGAAAGTGGTAACCGTCGCCTATAGACATGAGCAGTACCGTGGACATAATAGAGTATACTGTTTCGCCCATGATACCCCCCAACTAACCTGCCCATTAATAACGATCCCTTTCCCTCCTCTTCATGTCGTTTAAGAATAGCTCGTATGAAATATATATAGGTATAAAAAATATCTACCTACTTGTTCCTCACAATTGATTACTAAATAAGTAGGTGTAGGCAAATAATTACAATGTATTCATTTACGTATTTATTAATTGTGGTTTTTATTACTTCACCATAACAGTCAATGGCATAAATGCGTAAGTTAAATAGGTATATACACGAGAATCTTATGAATAATTAATTAAATTTCATTATGTTGTTGTATCAGCCATTAACTGCCCACTGCTGAACATAGCTTCCCCCATAAGGTGGATTTTGCCCGTAGTTGCCACACTTGGCAGGCGGGTTGGCAACTGCAGTTTGGCTATTGGTGATGTTTTAAAAGAGATGCTGCCCATCCCTCCATAAGCTCCCTTAGTCGCCTCTAACGATACCCACGAGAAAGGAAGGGGTGGCCATTCTATTCCAGAACTTACACGGCTTAAATTTGCTTATAGTCATTTGTAATATAATATGTATGTAAAATAAATTATAATTTATTATTATTATTAATAATTCTAGAAAAGAATTTGCTGCCTTTATAATTCCATGATTAATTATGAATTAATTAATTCATTATAATTATTTATGAATGAGTTATTAAGTTTACCTTTTGTAACTTGTATAAAGTAAATTGTAATTGTTATTTTTAATTATATTAAAATTTGCTTCGTTTATAATTTCTCAATAATCTTATATAATTCTTTATTAACTCTCTTTTATCCGCAGCATTATCCGCGTGACCAGGATATGTTTACTGGCCGGGATAAAAACTAGCCTATATGCTTCTCCATCGCATATAATAATTACATACCAAATTTTAAAGTGATTCTTACCTCTAAACAGCGTCAAAGCGCTGAGAGATAATAAACAAATGCAATCTCTCTTTCACATTTTTTATCCGAAATGATATACATATACTCGTAGATTAGTCCCGTTGAAGTTTTATCAAAATCGGTTCAGTAATTTAGTTATTAAATCAAAATAACTGGTTTTGTTACAATTCATTTTTTTTTTGTGGAAAACAATCTCAAATATTTAAATTATGATACTTATTAGCACTTTTAATTATTTAGCGTTAAGATTTCCTTTCATTTATGATTGTTGACACTTGAATTAATTGTATAAATTTTGCTCCACAAAAAAAATCAGCTTCAAACTTAACAATACTAAATTAACCATAATCACAACCATAAACTAGTTATTTGATTTAAAAATCAATTTACTAGAATGTTTTTGATGAAATGTCTACGATACCAATCTGAAAGTATGTAAGTATATTATTTCAAATAAAAAATGAAATTTCCCAAATACATTTATGAATGACGCAACTCTAAAGTACCGAATAAACATAAAAAAAATACTACCAAATTGACAGCCTCTTTCTTTTTGAAGTTAGTTAAAATATTTCAATAATTTTATTTATTTATTTGGTTTGTAAGCAGGGACCATGCGGTCCAAGGCGCCCCATGCGCCGCGCTGCCGTTCAATTGCCGTCGACTGCGTTCCGTTCCATTCCGACCCCTCAGTTGCTCGACCGCTCGCGTCGTGTTTGTACGTGTCGCTGCGTAAAAGATTACGACCGCGCGTAGTCTCCGACGAACATAAAATTATATATATAAAAAAAATATATCAGTTACAGGTTTCTGTGTTTCGCCGCATCCCAAAGGGAACGTTCGAAGTCAACTCTCACTAACTGGATACGCTCTGTTATTCCACGTTTATTGTTTATCGTTAGCAAGTGCAAAATGTGATGTTGTGTGTGCTCAACGAGCGTGCCCGTCCCGTCCTGTGTAACGTTGTCCCAAAGTGAACTAGATGGATGTAATGTGCTTCTAAATTCGGAGTTATAATTTTTTAGTCCTTCGCACCCGGATACTTTTCTGCAAGGTTAGTACGAATTATTATCTTGACAACTAGGTGAGTTTACGAGATAAGGCGTAATATGTGACTAATAATAGTTACGATATTGAATTATTATTGTCGTTACCAGGAAACTGTGCTAATTTTGATTTTCATGAAACCACAGAAAGGCTTATTAGACGGAATTAATCATATCCTATAATGATTTGCTAAATTACTTGTGCATTCAGTTGTTTCCCGCGGGTACTGTTATCATCCAATTGTACTTAAATTTTCAAAAAATACCATTATATTAGATGTTTATATCCTATAAACAATATATCCGCCAAATTTCAAATTCGTAGTTCAAGTAATTTTTGAGATTTTGAACCTATTAATCATTGCGTTATATTGCGGTAGATTACTAAATTTGAACCCTACCACTGTTTATTATTTTAATACCTATCTATGTATTAAACAATAACTTCCAAATTTAAATTACCTACAAGTTTTGTTTTGATATAAGTAAGTACTTATTTATTATTATGAAGCAACCAATAACAGCGTGGGTGGTGTCGGGCAAATTAAGCCTAAAGCAATTTCGTACTGCCAAATTTCAACTTAGTAAATTAAGTAAGTATCTACCTAGGTTTGGTACTGCAAGTTTGTGATCTATTTAATTTAATGATTGGAAAGATTTTGCTATAAATTTAATGTAGGTAAATACAAACCCAAATAGAATTACGTGCTTATTTAATAAAAGTGAACTCTTTTATAATCATATTTTAACTATTAAAGTATTTTGGCATATTTCAAATTAGAAATTTTGGCACAATAAAAAGACAAAACACTTCAATACCTACCTAAGATATAGATTTATGAGACATTTGACATTGTCTATTCTAATATTACTTACGTACGAATAAAAAGAAAAGATTATTTTTTTTATAATGGAATAAACTCGGAAAACGATTACTCGAAAACCAAATTTTAAAATTCTCTCACCTATAGGAAACTATATTATCAGCTATTAACATGAGCTGTATTTTGTTTTAAAAAAATCATGAGAAGTCTCACAGGCTTAGTAGTTACGAAAAAAAAAGATAAGAAATTTAATTAATCAACCGATAATGGAAAAACTATATCTAAACAATAATTATACGTGTATTGTATAGCATACATAGTGACTCGAGAGGTAACTAATGTTGATTCACACACCTCGAGCCTCAACCAAACAGCCAAGGCAACTGTAATTAGAACAAACATAAATATTTACATTGCTTAATGATTCACGCCGTTTTTTGGTTTCCTAATCCTTATCTCGGCCTCGATCATTACTTTTATTATGTGGTTCTATTTCTTGTAGATTTTTTTATGATTTTAACTAATATTTAACAAGTTCAATACAAGTGGGGGGGGGAGGATTATTAGTAATGGAGCCAAATACCCTAATTACTAGCAATATACCCTATCAGGTCGACCTCCACGTGGTTCCCCCTAGATACCATCATGGCTAATTCTAGTTGCATTCGTCAGGATGGGCTAACTGACCTGCTTTCATCCTCATCAGTCATCTATCACTGGTGCCCCACCAGTGTATACCGACATTACCAGTCGGAATTACCAGGCGGGATTACCAGGCGGGATTACCATACCATTATAACCTATTAAAAAAAAATACGAGTAAGTGTTTATAAGTAATAAAAGTTTTAAAGTACTACACTAAAATTTATTTGGTTGTAATGGATTTTCATTTATAGTACTAATTTTTAATAATTTCTATCACTGTGTATTCATTTTATTGAAAAGGTTGAGTAATGGAAATTAGCCCTATTGCTAACAATAAGATATATTGTTAGGTCATGGGAAAATATCAGTTTTAATCACTATCGTGATTATTTCCTGATAAATTCGTCATGATAGCACAACTAGCCTAACTTCATCTTTACATACCATCTCTCGCCAGCAATGTAAACCTATATACAAAGTACAATTATATTTTCGTTCATAAACAAACCTACACACCACAATATTATTGCTAACCTTCAATAATTCCTCCATTGAAGATCAATCATTAGACAAATAAGCCAATATATACACTATATCATAACTTATTACAAGCTTTTGTCATTGTTTTTCAAACTTTTATAGTGTATCTATCAAATATATTGATTTTTATAATTATATTTAATAAAACAAAAAATCTAAACTAAAATATGGTCAATCAACCTCGGTCTCCTCTATTCTCAACCGTCATACTTCTTACAATTTCGATCAATAGAATTAGGAACACTCTAGTAATGAACAATGCATAAAATATCAAATAATTACTTCCGAATGAGTGAGAGTTTAAAATCGGTTCTTTTAGAAAAAAAATCTTAAGGAGGCCGTTCACCTGGGATGAATAAATAACGTACAACCCGTCAATTCCATACATTTAAATACTCTCCTATCCGCAATAACATTTTATACAAATCGTATTTTATACACGGGGTTGCCTTCAAATCGAGCTTCACGATTCTATCAAGAAGTCGGAATATTTAATATTTTAACGAATAACGGACCATCTTAATTATATTCTCCATCTTAATTAATGAGGAAAAGATAATTAGTCAAGTCTCTTAATTTATTAATACAATTTTAATAATTCAAAATAGGCATCTGATCTAGGTAAATGCGTCGTTATCGCCGCAAAACTGATAATTATTTAATATAATTAATGCCATTTTATCATCAAACTATTTATCTTTAAAACAACATTCAAGTATATGTATTTAAAGTAGATAATTGGATATCTATAATACCTGCTAACATTTTTATCAGTAATGACAAAAAACTTAAAAATACAACAATAAATAGCAAATAAAGTAAGTAGTAGTAGCGAAAACTATTTTTTTATATATTTTATACGTGACAAAGTCACAAAGAAACCGATTGCTAATTTTGGTAAAAATAAATTATTATTATGAATTATTGACAGGCAGCCCGTAATTTTTTAATTTGGCGGCCATAAATTCATCCAATAAAAATTACTTGGCCGAAGGTCAATTACATACAGTGCTAATAATTTATCGAAAGTAGTAAATAAAAACTCAGAACGTATAAAAACGTGAGACTTTAGGGATCTGACTAATTAAAAAAAAACCGACTAATAAATTGGATAAAAATATAATAAATATAACTATTTATAACATTACCATATTTATATTTTCGTTGATCTAAGGTGAATTACATACATTTTACAATTAACCAATAAAAACTCTTACTAATATGACATAAAACATCGTAACATCTAATACTTAATGGACGTGACAAAATTACAAAAAAGCCCACAATTAAAATAAAATATTTTTTACTAATTTCGACAGTTTATGATCGCAGTTTTTATATTATAATTATAATCTCTATGACCTAGAGTCAATTGCACAATGCATATAACTTATCGAAAATGGTCAATAAAAACTCAGAATATAAATGCTACGTCTAATACTTAATGGATATGACAAAGTCACAAAAATCTCAATTATTAAATTTAGTAAAAGTGAAATCATTTTCTTAAATTTTAACTGTTTATAATCGCCATAATTACGTTATCTTCTCATTGGTCTAAGTTTAATTATCGGAAATGATCAATAAAAATTCAGAATTTAATAATAACGTCTAATACTTAATGGATATGACAAAGTCACAAAAATTTAATTTATTAAAATTAAGAAAATTATTTTATATTTAGTAAAACAATTTTCTCAAATTTTGACTGTTTATATCTTCCATATATATGTTATCTTTTCATTGGCCTAAGTTTAATTATCGAAAATGATCAATAAAAACTCAGAATTTAATAATATACTTAATGGAAGTGACAAAGTCACAAAAATCCAAATTATTAAATTTAAGAAAGTAAAAGTAGTTAAAATAATTTTCTAATATTTTGACCGTTTATAGGCCGCCATATTTATGTTATCCTCTCGTTGGCCTAAGGTCAATTGCAATGCGAATTACTTATCGGAAACGGTCAATAAAAACTCAGAATATAATAAATAACGATATCATACCCTCCTTCCTCTACTTGATTATTTTGGCAATAGTCCAAAAATTTGCGGCCGACCAGCATCCTTACTGTTTACTGTATTTATTATGCACAAGGAATATGAAAATGATATCGCCGCATTAGCAATGGTATATATTCTAATAAAACGCCAACGGATGGTGAAACCTGTCAGTTCTGTAAGGTCAAGGCCTTATCTGTAAGAGCGTTCATGAATTATCTTTGTTGTTACTATGATATCGACTATAAATTACGTAAGAACTGTTCCAAATTGCCCTATCTGTCATTTAACTTTCTTAAGTATCAAAGTGTTTGTCATATATTTATATGTAGAAAAAAAACTTTATAATATAGTGAATATTTATATGCTTGTACTGTCTGTTCAATTCCCTTTTTTTTTTAAACTGATTGAAAAAGATTCTTAATACGATTGTATTATTTTTTTCATGTTTGTTACCTCATAACTCTATCACTTCTAAACTGATTTGGAAAATTCTTTCTCTTTTTTTATTTATAGTAAAATCTCTAATTTAACTATAGTGGTCTGACTCGACCTTTAAGTTATTATGGTATTAAATTACTAATTATTACACTCCACACGTATTACTGTCCACTACTGAACATAGGCCTCGTCCATAAGGGGGGGGGGGGGGGGGGTTGCCAGGCCTCGATTGGCAGGCTGATTGGCAATTACAGTTAGTCCTTTGGTGATGTTTTAAGAGGGATGCCAGTACTTTTAGACTTATACTACATTTAATTATTTTTTTGAAGATGAAGTCATTGTAATCATCGAATTATTTATTCTTTATTGTACACAAAACATACTGTTAATCACAATTCGTTATAAACATAATGTACAAAGGCGAACTTATCTCTAATAAGAGATTTCTTCCAGCAAAACCTAATTGTTAGAAGCGACAAATACAGTTAATTCATTATATCCTCTTTGTCCAATTATTCTTATTTTAATATTATAAATGTGAAAGTGTATTTGTTTATC